CCTCTAGTAATATATTTACTGAGAAAAATGGTGACGTGTTCAATACTTATTTTACCCGCTGTATTCACTTCAGTTCTTGAAATAAAAATCTGCTGCAGGTGAGAATTATTTGTTAAATAAAATGTCTAATTTTCAGATTTACAGGTAGTTMTTTTTTTTTTTTTGCCCAACCCGAAACAATTATCAAAAGCTGCAAGGCTTTAGAGTCCAAATGAATCAGTGTTTCTCAAAGTTTATTTTTGAACTAAGCTGATTTATTATTGTAATGCAGAATCAATCATTTTTTATTCAGCAAAAATGTATATAAAACATTAATAAACACTGCATGCATCACTTCTATATTTGTTTCAAATTTTGTCCTTTGCATTATTATTTTTTGTATTTGCATAGCGACTCTTKGTGTTATTTTAGGCAAATATGTGTATCTTTCAGGGTTTAATCGTTTTTTGTATAAAAATATAAACTAGGAGAACATTTAATCACCTTAGCTTTTACTGCATCACTATGGTAATATAACCAAAGCAAAGCAACACTGCCATCTAGTGGTGAATTATCTCCATGTATTTATTATCTTTTACATTTATTATCTTTCTTCCTTTCAGGGTCATGGTGGGTCACTGACGCCCACCTTCAGCAGTAGCTGTGGGAGGGGGCAGGGTACACCCTCGACAGGCTGCAAGTCCAGCACAGGGATTAAGCTATTTGTATTTTTATTTTCAGGACAGAAGTTCTAAACTGAAAATGATGCAAACTGGGGTGGTCACCAAAATAAATTCCCTCTAAGAACAGCATGAATGGATGTACTCAGTGAACAGTCTAATTATGTGAAGCTGTCACTCCTTCAGTAAGCCAATCAGCTGGTGACGCCACCAATGTGCATCAATAAACCGCTCAGTCTGGGTCAGCGTGAAAAAAATAATACCCACATTCCAGGACGTATAGTGCTCGGTAAGATGCAGCTCTGCTCTTTGCATTTCTCTTCTCACGTGGCTTAGAATAAACTCATTCTGTTTGGAAGATGACCTAAAGATATAATAACTACAAAACCTTCATTGACRGAATGAAAAATGAGAAGGAACTAAATCTGATGTGGACATGAATATACGCATATACTCACATGGTCTGTTGATCTGCTCACTCAAACATGGTTAGACCACCACTGAAGGAAGGAGAGGACATAAAAATAAATGTGACAAAACTGTTAATCAAAATGATACAGGTCCAGGACTGAGTAAGATGCATAAAGTCATCTGTTAAGGCTCATCTGAGAGGATTAGCCTCCTAATCTCAACTACTGTGAGGTTAAATCTGTGGGCCACCTGTTGCTCGAGGCCACACCGTCAGATCCAGGTCTGCTGGAGTGATGTAAGAAGTTGTACAACACAATCACCGCACAACAAGACWCTTTATTCTTCTTTACAATACTTTTCTTTCATATAATTGATTTTATTTTATTTTCTGTTCTTGTTTTGTTTGTTTGCCTGCTTGGCCTCAGTTTATCTTTACTTTCTGCTCCCTCCTCCCAACAGGCCCAACTTTTCTAACGATCACACCTGCCCTCTGCAGCTCATTACCGCCTTCAGTTCATGTAACGTCTGTGGATTTCAGCAGCAGCAGCTCTGTCAGCTCAGTCTTTGGCTTTCTTCGTGTCATGGTTAGTCTTTGCATTACACAACAGCTCATTGTGTACTTCAGGATTTCTAAATTTGCAGCGCCTTAAGTTTGTTTTTGTTCAGGCAACGCTTATTTATCTACTTTCACCTGGCTGCCTCCAGGGCCTCAAGTCTACGTTTGAGCGTGCCCCATTTCTTTTTACGCAAGAGCAGGAGGAAATGTGTGAGATAACGTTGTAACAGTCTGCAAGCTGGTGGAGAAATATTGTCAGACTTAAGCAAACTTAGAAAACTACTCTTGCTGTAAAAAAAAAAAAACACTCATCAACTGCATGTGTGACAGTCGTGTTTTTACACATAAAAACAGTAAATTTACAAAAGATCTGTGGATTTGAAACCAAAACTTTAAAGAGTTCATGTAAAAAAAAAGTTTAAATTAAAATGTAAGCAATGAAATGTGATTCTGGAACATTTCCAACAAAACACATTAATTTCGTGTGGTTTTCTGTCCAGTTTTAAAACAGTGGTTCTCAAAATTGGGCTCAGGACCGCACTGTGTGTTTTGAAACGTCAAGGTGGGGTCTTCAAAACATTTTCATAATTAATACGTTTAAAAATTACATTTTTTGCCATAGTTGTTACAAAAGAGTGAGGTCAGTATACGTAGAAATAAATGAAATTAGCATAAAAAATAATATATAGGCCCTTTGTTATTTTTACAGCTGTTTTTTCTCTTTTTAGGCTACTTAAAAGGCTCTATGCAATGATTCCAAAACAGTTTAGTTCTTATAAATCGGACCACCCTTTCAGGATTTACATGTCATCAAATTCTTCATTAAAACATTGCTGAGCCCCTCAGACACATAGCAAYCAAAAATTTCTTAATTTTTCAAACCAAAACAGAAAACGGACTGGACAAAACATTTTAGGTTTTAAAATGATTTMGGGGTCTAGGCATTAAGTGACTGAAACTCACRTGRTAACTGTGATGCAATGCCCAGGCKGGACAATGCATMTGTCAAAGTGCCTAAATGTTGTTATAACCTTGTTTAATTGATCTCAWATYTTTATCACCCAAAAACCARTGGGGGCACAGGAGCTGCTACTGTWATTTTGWGGATCAGAAGCTGAACAGTTTGGGAACCATTGTTTTAGAGTACCACAAAATGATGTGCAGATTATTGTAAATTTCCATGAAAGAYAGTCAGATGAAGTACTGATAATTTTGTATCTTTAAATCGATCATAAATTAAGTCCAAGTAAAATAAAAACAGTGAAATAATCAAGCAGGTATAAGGGTTAGAAAGTTATGTTGCTCAGCTGTGGCCATGAAAGAGTTAAGGATGGAGTGGTTTACGCTGCAGGGAAGTCGATAAGATATCCTGTTCTTTCGCCACAGCTGGAGCACAGCATGACTTGGAGATTTTTGGGAGAGACTTTGCTCAGTTTTTAACCCACTTCAGAAACCACAGAGGAGGAGGTGAGTGGATGACTTTGACATATCGGTGTCTAAAAKAAGTGCTGAACGCAAAGATGATAAACAAAGAAATGTTTTGCCACATCTTGAACTTGTTTTTTTTTTTATCTTTGCATAAGAAGCACATTTAGAAGTTGCACTTCTTTCATATTCATTAACATCTAAAGCTAGCTCTGATTGCTTCATATGTTCCTGAACATGTAAATGTGTCTCAGAGCAGAGCTGTGAGGAGGGCTGCTGTGTTGCCATGAGTGAGAGCTCTTTCTATGGTTTCCTTCTTTCGTCCTCTCCAGGGCCTGGTCACTGGGGGAAAGATGAAAAGAGGAGACGCACCTGTTTCAAAGCAGTCAAGTGCTTGTTTGGGTACAAGTAAGCTTCTTTCTTTCCCTCTCACTTTTATCTCTGCATTGTGCTAAATAGACCTCTCGTGTCTTTTCTTATCCGTGTGATGCGACTGTACCGTGGTGCGAGCTCTGGTGCTCAGCCAGTAAGAGCCGGGAGGTTTCCGAGAGATAAAGCAAGCAGAATTTAGTGAATCAGGTCTGAGATATGGCRGAGTGGTCCATTAACAGCATTCTCCACTTTCCAAAGGCCAAATGAATGAATCATGATCCTTTTTCTCTAAAGTAACTGCAGATATGAGTGGCCAACTCCTTATTTCCACACTGAAGTTCATTTTAGCAGACTCAAAAATGCAAAGTTGCTTACATCCATGTTATTATCATCCACAGCCTGAGCCACAATACTCTCTAAAGCTAAAATCATTATGTTGTACTGTATTACTCATACTGTGTAGAGAAAAACACCCTTAATAATCTAAATTTATTGTACTCTTTTCCACAATAAAGTTCAATCAGATATGATATTAAAATGTATTTGTTAAAGGGGTGGGGGTGGCTGTATTATGCAAAAATACTTTTTTGAAATTTATATTYTGTTATAATGTCATTCCCTCGTCAAAAACATGCCCAGAGTGTTGCTTTGACTCATTCATGCATGTTTGAGAAATCCTCGAATCTCCTGTTATCCATGTGGAGCTGCCTAAACCCTTGTTTGTACAAAGCTCCGCCTACTAACACACAGCTCCACCCTGGAGCCAAGCTCCGCCCCACAGAGCATCCCAGTTCATTGTTGTGAAAACATGCTGCAGTGGAAATCTCTAACGGTGGGAGGTTCATAAAGAGACAGAGGCCAATTTCAAGGCGTTTAGATAGGCTTTGATGCAAAGTACAATTTTTTTAATAAAAATAAAATAGTTACTTGTCTGTAGACTTGAATTGTGTTCTTGGAAAATACACAATACCCCACCCCCGTATAAAAATGGCAAGGGTCTGAAATAAATAAACTCTATTTTAACATATTTTTGCACTTTGTGTAGTCATAACACTGAAATGGTAGGACCCTTTTTAAATGTTTGAACAGAAACTTAAATTCATTTAACAAAATGTGTAACTGGGGAAAATGGTGCAACATAAAACTAATGCTCATGTATTTTACACCATCAGCAGAATCAAACAATTTAAACATGCAACTGCCTGGTTGCCGAGCTAAAGAGCATCTCAAGCATCACATGCAGATAAGCAGTGAGGAGGGGTCAGCTATATTTGTGATGCTTCTTTGCAAATGAAATGGAGTGGGAATCTTCTGCCTCATTCTCTCTGTGTATACARTGGGTTCGTCTCTAGATTTTGTTAGTTTGTGTCTGAAAGTTAGAACTAAATAGCACTTTGGGCTACTGAGGTCACATTTTTAGTGTCACTTTATAAACAAGGCAAAGACTGGCTTCTCTGTCGACATGGAAATAGAGAAATGGGCAATTGAAAAAKCCCCCACCAAAACCAGCTGTGGACTGATGTAAGCTCATGAAGCAAATTGCAGGCTGAATCTGGTGAGGTGAATCTATGTGCTCCACAGCGTCTGACTCAGTTATAGCTGTAAGCAACACTCAAGGTAAGTGCAACAAGCCCTGAAAAGACACAGAATCCAGTTAAAGATGTTTATTTTACTGAATTATTTTAAACACTTCTTTATATCTGAGCAAATGAAATTCTGAAATGTAGAGAAAAGTAAGAGAGGGAGAAAAACTAGTAAAGACTACTGAAGTTAAAGCTGCTTCAGTTTGTACCAGACTAGTTTTTAAGTTGGTACAAAATTAATTTAAGAAGCTTTCAGTTCACAATCACTACAGCTCTATGGTTAGGCTAGCTTTCTTTTTATTTTTTTACTGTACAAGTTGTAAAAAGTATTGCGCTTGACAGCAGCAGTGGTGCATGCCACTAACGTTGTGTGTCTGAAATGATAAGTTTCTTTAAAAGGAGCCTGGATTAAGTTACAGTATGTCATGTGGTCCTTCTCTTTTGCTTCATCACTCCAAAACTCCAGAGTCAGAACTGCACTTTGTACCTCTAAGACCTTCATTATAAATCTGTCTAGTTTACCTCCCAGAAGAAGCATCAACGCAGCTACTGTCTGAATGTAAACAAGATGTTATTATCAAGCTTTATTATCTATGAGAAAATGAGCACTACAAAAAATATAAAACAAGGTGCCATTATGATTTGTATCAGTTTAGGATCATTCTTTCCTAAATTTGAACAATTTAATTTACTGGATCAAATCCAAATGTGCCAGGGTGAGCCATTAAACCAGTGCTCAATTCAAAAAGCTTTCAGCATACAGTAATGATGATCCTTTCAATCCATCCCCCTGGTGGGCTTGTGTTTCCTCTTAAGTATCGGTTACAGCTGATGGCTTTAGTGTTGGAGCACATTTCAAAAGAGGAGGTATTACTTTGGACAGATGAAGCTTGTTGGGACAAAACAGAAAAGAGTATAAAGGAAAACACAAAAAGATGACACAGAGTAGGGGTCTGCAAACTTTACAAACAAATTATGTTTAAATTATTTTGTCCTGAGCCACAAAAWATACTTTAAGGTAAATAAAGATAACAACTCATTTTAATGTATAAAACAAAAGGAACCTTTATGTTTTTTATCAAATGCAGGTTGCCTAATTTTGCTGTCTTATTAGTGCCATTCTGTCGTAGAGATTTCATTCACATGCACTACCAGAGCACCCTAGTTTTTCCCAGTTATTTTAATTTGATYTTCAAGCAGCTCAAGTCTAACGAACAGCTTGAAATGGTAAAAAGATAAGTGCTGAACTGCCAAAGGTTTAAAAAAAATTGAAAGTTTACCCAAAACTGAAAGTCGAGGTGTTTGTGAGTTCAGTTTCCTTCAAGCACTCAGAAACCGGTGGAATCTCTGARGAGAAGAGGTGTGGCAGACTCGGAGCCACAACAGCATCAGATGACAAGTTTCTGAGCGGCACACAGGCCCTGAACTTCACGTTAATAGTGGTCGTAGAAGGCAAGGCCGTTTTAACTGTGAAGAGAAGACTTAAAGCTGCAGGTTGACCGGTCTAGTCCAGCAAGAAACCCATTTCTAAGAGCTCAGAATAAGAAACAAGACAGTTAAGATTGGAAAAAAGTTGGTGTTGACTGATGAGTACGGATTAGAAATCTATAGTTCAGCTGGACTTTTGTATGGTTTCTCAGTGTGACAACTGTTAAACATGGAGGAAGAAGTGTGATGATCTGGGGCTGTCTTGCTGGATCGAGGGTTAAGTCTGTCACACCTCCTCTCATTAGTTTCCTCCATTTTCTGAGTGCATTGTGATGGTGAAGGAAACTGGACTCACAGACACCTTGACTTTCAGTTTTGGTTAACCTTAAATTTTTTTAAACCTCTAGAAGTTCAGCACTTTGTACCCTTTCATGTTGTTTCTGCAGGTTCATCAGGAACAGCCTCTCATTAGTAGAACTTTGCAGGTCTTAATGTAYGTGTACATTGATTTTTAGTTGCTTATTCATACATGATGTGCTGGTGAACACATTTAATGAAGCAGGGGCACTATGGGCGATGCAGTATCAAAGCTGCGTCACTCACACCAACATGTTCCTTTGAAAATTGGTTGTTTTTTAAATATTTTTCTCTTCACTACATAGCTGTAAAACCTCTGTAATTCAAAAAGCACTCAAAGTAGGTGTTAACTGGACTTGAGCTGCTTGATTATCAAAAAAAAAAAAAAAAAACTGGAAAATGAAGGTGCTCTAAAACTTATGACCAGTAGTTAATCAGCAAAAAACTGCAAAACGTGTCAATGAAAATGTCAGTTATTTGAAAATTTAGTTATTAAAAAAAATCATCTTGGGTGGCACAGTGGTGTAGTGGTTAGAGCCATCGCTTCACAGCAACAAGGTCACAGGCTCAGCTTCCAGGCCTTTCTGTGTGGAGCTTTCATGTTATCAAAAAGACCATAAACATGCATGTTAGGTTGATTGGTAACTCTAAATTGTCCTTACATAGAGCTTCAATGGTTGTTTGTCTCTATGGGGGCCTGTGAGGGACCTGTCTCCTATCCAGGGTGTCCCCCTCTCGTGCAGTCCCTGCTGGACACCAGTAGTAAATTCAGCTGTTAAAAGCAGTTCACGCAGAGCTCTGTAGGTGGCGCCACTCTGCAGGTGTTAATATCTGGTTGCCATCCATTTAAACCCTCACTCAGGTAACTTTGTGTTTACACGACATGAACCGCTCAAAGTGAGATAAGCTCCGAACAGAACAGGTTCTTGGTTTCCTGCCTTTTGACTTACGCCCCTGTCTTCTTGCAGACATGCCTCGGCAGTTTTACAAGGTAACTCTGAGTGAGGTGGAGGAGGAGAAGCAGCTACTAGCAGAGAAAGTGTACGCCTCAGCGCTGAAAGAAGAAGACAACAAGGATGCGTTGTCAATGTTCACAGTGCCCGAGGACTGCCCCATCGGGCTGCAGCAAGCCAAAAACCATGAGCTGCTCAAGGACCTGGCAGAGCAACAGTCCGAGGAGAGCTCCAAAAGGTACACGCCACTCAYCCACAGGTCTGACAAAGCATGTCGAAGCACAAAAAGAACTTCACTTTAAGTAAATTTACAGCAGCTTCTGTTAAAAATGAGGGCATAATCATCATCTCAAAAGTGGGGGGGGGAACACATTTTTTAAAGGTCTTTTTCTGCTTTGCTAAAAAAAGTGCGTGTGTGTGTGTGGGGGGGGGGGCACATTTATTTAAAGGTCTGTTTTTTCTGCTTCGGCTAAAAAAAAGTGGGGGGTATATAGGGCACAGATTTTGGAAGTGGGGGGGGGGGGCATGTCCCACCCCGTACCTATGGCGGTTACACTCATGGTTAAATATACACCTAACAATAATTATCTTGCTCATTTTTCAGGAGAAAAAGTTTCATGTTGATTCGCTCCCAGTCGCTGTCCTTGCAGATCCCAGTGACTACAGATGGCTCAGGTCCGGGGACCTTTACACCATTAATGTCCGCCAGCTCCACTTTCTCATCAGCGCCAGAAACCTGTCCTGATTTCCAGAGAGTCACTATCAGCGGTGATTACTGTGCAGGGGTGAGTGTCATGGGCCTGGTGCTGGTTTTCATATTGATTTTCACCACCTGTTCCTACAATCTGATTWAAAAAATAATTATAATAATTTATGAGTAATGTCCACTCAGATCCCAGTAGAAGACTACGAGCAGGCTGCCAAAAGTCTGTTTAAAGCGCTGCTGCTTCGAGAAAAGTACTCCAAACTGGCCTATCACAGATTCTGTCGAACAACAAGCCAGTTTCTGCGCATTGCTGAGAACACAACATGGAATGAAGATGATGAGGTTCTACCTGGTATGAAAAGAATAAATATATCAATTTAACCTTTGAGAAGATGTTTCATGCTGCTTTGACATCAACAGAGCAGTACTGTGTCCACCAGACATGTGCCCGTGTCCGATGGAAGGTGAGGACCCTTACAGTGAGGAGAACATCCCTGAGCAGCTCAACTATGAGCTGAAGATGAAGGATGGGATCGTGCACGTGTACGACGGTGCAGAGGCGCTCGGAAAGGATCAYCCCCTCGACCTTCCCTACCCGGACCTGGAGACGTTTGCCATTGATTTAAATCAGGTGCTGGCAATGATTGCAGATGGACCCACGTAAGTTGTCAAAATAAACAGACTTCACTATCCTGCGGGTTGAAAAACCAGTTGGTACCACTCATTCAGCACACACGTATCTCCGAGTAACAGTATGCAACATAAAAACTGAGTTTTTTCTTTCTTCTTTTTTTCATAGAAAAACCTACTGCCACAGAAGACTAAACTTCTTGAGCTCCAAGTTCAACCTGCATGAAATGCTAAATGAGATGGCAGAGCTTAAGGAACTGAAAAGTGTTGCTCACAGAGATTTTTACAATGTTAGGAAGGTACGTATTTCATGRACAGGGTATTTGCACCGCAACTCAACAGCAAGTGTTTTAAAGGGGCAATATCATGTAAAATCAACTTTTTTGAGTTTTATATCATGTTATAATGTCATTCCCTCGTCAAAAACATGCCCA